CAAAATGGGCCTCATTGAAGATGCTACTAAATTCTTGTCCTTTGACCTTTTCCTCTTTGTCCCCAACTCCAATAATTAACCCTCTCATACTTTTAAACACTATTCGATTGGAGTAGGGAGGAATCGAGAAAGTTTTAGGGTAATCTTTCACTCTAAAAAGCTTTAATATACTTCTTAAAAGTTTGCACTTCCTAACACAAAACTCTGCATCCATCCTTGGATTCAAGTATATGTAATCGCATTGAAACTTACATAACACGAATTATCAATTAAACCAACTTCGTGATTTGATTTAACATTATAATTGAAGTGATAAAATTGTTGTCCATTGTAATAATAGTTTAATTAGTCTAAGTGGTATCATACTCACGGGCAGAATTAGGATTAAATTTTGAAGGAAACAAATTATTTATATATGAATTTATTCAGTTTCTAGAAGGTAATTAAGTCTCAAAAATAAAGGGTTGAAGCTTAATTTCACTGGTTGAATTGGGAGGGGTTGGATTATATATTAACCTTAAAGATTAAGGACCAACGAAAGTCACAACAAGAATCAAATAATTAACCTTAATTTAGGGGATGTTTGATAAAATAAAATGATTAAGCGCTGAATAATTCAATGGTCTGAATGATTCAAAGGCTCTGTATGAATTGACTCTGAATGTGACATGTTGTTTGATAATGGTTCTGAATATACAATCTGAATTATGAATATTTTCATTTTTACCTTTATAATGAATTATTATATTATAAGATATGATTGTTTAATAATACAACATGTGAAAAAATTGATATTATGATAAAATATCTGGTGCTTAATGATTTATAATGTACTTTAATGTTGAATCATTCAGCAGTGTTTTGTTGTTTCATTCAACATAATCTTCATTCAGAGGTGAGAATCAAAACGCTGAATGTTGAACGGTTCAACATTCAACGCTGAATTATTCCATTCAGAAGTAAACAAACGGCCCCTTAGATTATAAACCACATGTTAAGTATAGGTTGTTTGTTTCAAGGTGTGGGTAAGCTTTAAACATTATTGTCTCCCTCTCTTTTTTTATCATAGATTAATCATAATTAAAGCACAATAATGTTAATTATTATCTGTCTGGATTTAATTAAGAGATGTGCAAATCTTGGAACAAGCTTTTCACTAGCTGGACATGATCATGTTTGACATCTGTCAATTTTTTTTGTTTTGATGATGAAAATGCCCTTGGGTGAAAGGGATTTTAACTAAATATACCAAATGGGTCAAGCTATTTGAAGGGGTACATTGGTCAGTGGGATAATCATCACATGGAATGAAATTTACAGTCATGTGATCACATGCTTAAGATGAGTCAAAGGGAACTAAGCATTTTCTTTATATTTGCTTCACTTATCCAAATAATTAATTGGAATTCTATAATGTCACTACAGCTAAAAAGATAAGCATATTACATATATTTAAAAAATCCTTGTTCCCTACCCTTATTTGGCTTTTTTGGCCCAATAAGGATAACGTGTTTTTTATTTAGTTCATTAGAGCAAGTAAAAATTTATTTTGGGATCTACGATATTTTTTACAGTGTTATTGGAACTCTTATCATAGATCCCAAAATAAATTTTACTTACCCTAATAGGCTAAATAAAAAAACTCATTTACCTTACTGGTCAATTTTCCCTCTTAATGTGATACTTAAAAGATATTTTTCGAGAAGGAAATATAATTATTAATTAAGTGATGACATTAATAGCGAGTTAAGGCTTTTTCTCCTCATGAATCAAGTGATTTTAGTGGTTAAAGGGATATTTATTGTTTTTAGAGGTTGTAAGTTTGAACATGATATCTGGAGGAGTATTTGAGCGTTCATTGTCAAATAGTTAAGAGCCTTTTTTTGTTACAAAAAAAATTTAGGTAAGGGGTAGCCCCCAATCCAAGGTCAGGACATACCTAAGACCCAATTGGGATTTATATAGGAATTTACAGATTATCCACCAAGAGTGACAGTAGTAGGATTTGAACTTGACCTTATAAGCTCAAATTCCTGACAACCACTTATACCAACACTCATTGACAAAAGTCTTTTTAACATATATTACGTTTGTAATCTCCCAAGACTAACAATTTTTTTTCTTACCCCATTCTAATTCTTAATATATTATCTAACAATTTCTTTCAAAATGTTTTATATAATAATTAACAATAAATTAATTTATAAAAATATTAAATTAACAGAACTTTTAATCAAAGAAAGACATCGATTTTTTTATTAAAAATCCAAAAAGAAAAAAGTTCAACTTATTTTAAAAAATGTTGTATTTTTTTGGTATAAAAAGGAAAGGAAAAGTCCTTTTTGTCCTTACTAAATGTAAAGCGTAGTGTCCATGTGATGCTTTCAATATACTAAACAGCAAATTAGCTCACTTGTTACGGCTTCACCAGACCACATTAGCTTTTATAATCTCACCGTCCACTCAACAAATTGAACAATAACAGAACCGAGTATATAATTAATTGAGTTAATTCCATCCTACATCCCCGGATTATGATTCATATTCTAAATTGATCAATAAATATTCCAACTGAACCTTCGACCTAGATAATCTTTCGATTAAGTCCAAAGCTGACGATTAAATCAAAGGAATAAATAATGCTCTAGTTTAAGGATGCTGTTGGAATATTTTTCTATTTAGGGATCAATTTAGAATTTAGCCTATAGTTTGGGGACATAATCATAATTAAACATTGAGTTATTCATAAAGAACATTTTCCTTCCACCTCTATAAATCACAAATCCCATGCATAGCTCATCAGGCACAGCTCCAACCTTCAAAAAATGGCGCTGGAAGCTGTTCAAGCAAGCTCTGGAAATAGCATAGAACCGAATTCGAGTCCGAGGATTTCGTTCTCGGTCGATTTCCTCGACGAAACCAACTTCATATCCATCAATCCACATTCTCAAAATGAGGAGATGGATGCCCAGAAGGAGAAAGATAAAGCAAGAGTTGCAGACTTCGAGTTCCTTTCAAGAAAAGTGAGCAGCCACGCCATGTTGACGGCTGACGAGCTCTTCTTTGAAGGGAAGCTGCTCCCCTTTTGGCAAACGCAGCATTCCGAGAAGCTCAAACAAATCAGCCTTAGAAAGACCAAAGAGGAAGAAGATGATGATGATGAGGTGGTGAGGGCGGAAGAGGTTATAAACAAGGATGAGAGTAATAGTAGTAGTAGCATGAGTTGGTTCGTCGACGACAACCCGTCTCCGAGGCCACCGAAATGCACCGTTTTGTGGAAGGAGTTGCTGAGACTGAAGAAGCAACGGACTGCGTCGTTGTCGTCGTCGTCTTCGAGTTTGTTGGCCAACATAGCTGCATCTGAAGAAGGGAAACAAGGGTCTCGGAATAGATCAGATAACAGGCATGTGAAGAGGATAAAGAAAGGGTTGGAAAGAAAAAGATCATCAAGCATAAGAATCAGGCCTATGATTAATGTTCCCATTTGTACACAAGTCAAAAGCAGTGCACTGCCTCCTATGTTTCCTCTTAAGAAAGGAAGGTAGCCATAGCTGAGTTGAGTTGAGTTTGATCTGAAAATCTAGGCTTCTTCTCCAATATTTTACATTTGTTTTTAAATTTTTCAAATTTTTTCTGCTCCTTTTCTTCTATGATGGATGGAAGCTCAGATGTATTACAATTTACAATGTAAATGTTTACTGGAATTTACTCTGTTTTTTTCCAACTTGTTTTACACTTTCATCAGGCACCAATGTATTATCAGCTAGCAAAATGAGCAGTCATTTTACAGGACAACCACATGAAAAGATGTAGAGTTCTATGAATTTTCAGGATCCGACCCTGAAAGATCAGCCAAAGAGGGGAAAAGAGAAAAGCCTGATGCATGGGGCTAACAGCAATGAATTATTTTTGGGAAGGAAGAAAGGGTCTGAAAAGGCAAAATGGGTTCTGAAAAGGATCTGAATATATTTAAAAAAAAATATGGGGTAGTTTAGTGCATCTGATCTAAGGCACATAGCACCCAAGTATGTCACTCACAATTTCAAAAGATTCTCAATTTGTCCTCGTGTTGTTTCCAACGGGTTTCACAAGTAAATGAACCTTGACCGACAGGTAAGGTAAAGGCCATCTAAAATTTTAAAAGAATTAGACAGAGGACTCTTTTTACCAAAACAAATACATAATGGATTGTAATTCTGTTAAATGTGTTAAATCTTATATAACACAAATTATTAAAGTGTAGAGATTCACCACCGGTGTTAGTTCAAGTTGTAAGAAATTTGATATCATTTAAGTAGGTATCGAGTTCAAGTCTCTATGTATGCATAAAATCTCCGTTGGAAGACACACCCACCAAAACTAGATGTGTGATGTGAGTCAGTTTTGATTAGTCATAACGAAACCTTAGAACCAGAATGACAATAAAAAAATTAAAAATTCATAACACCTTGAATATAATTACAACATAAAAGGGTAAAGTACACCAGATATCACTAACTATGATCAAATGATAATTTTGATTATTGAACTTTTAAAAGTTACAAAAATGATCAATAAATTTATCGCATTGTTATAAAATAATCATTGCGATTGTTATAATAAGTATAAAAGTTCCATATTATATTACAAATAAGTGCCTAAAGTGTAACCCCTTATACCCAACCTATGCGTTACGGATTACAATAAAAATTTACAAAATAATTTTCTCACTTTAAAAAAAATCATAACTTCTTAAAAAAATGGTTATGTTAGCAAAATTCAAATCAGATAGTATAAAATAAAAAATATCGCAAATTAATTAAAATACTAGTAATATGTAAATAAATAACTTCATTCATTAAAGGTAAAAGTAAATAAGCAATACACCACTATATCAAAATACTAGGCATATGACACCAAAATAAAGGCAATTCTAAATATTGAAACATTACAATAAAAATTTTTGTACGGAATGTGTTGATCCTCCAAGTGTTGGGACTGGGTACCTATCCAAAATATCTTAAAAGAAAAAGATAGGGGAGTGAGCTAGGGAGATCAGTATGTTCCAATAAGTGCAATATAAAACCTACAAAAGAATTTGAAAAACAATTCAATAAAGTATTATGAAAATATCAGTAAATTTATTTAAAACAGATATCTACCCTCCACCCGTACACCATTTGAAATACCCCAGAACAGACATCCATAAGGACTTATCCTAGAACCTTAGGATATATGAGTCCAATGTGGAATATCATAACAGAAAGGAATTACATGTAGTTGAACTTCAGAGTCTCCAAACATCTACCCAGACAATACCCAATAAAACAGTTTCAGCCAGTACTAATATTATCAGAAGTCATAAATAAGATATTTTACAATAAGAGTAATCCTGAGAATAAGTACCAAACAATCAGAAATTTCAGATAAGTAAAAATAGAACTCATGAAAATAAGTAAATAGAATCATGCTTTCAAAATCAGTTAAAACATATATATATATATATATATAGTACACAAGGAACACACATCGCAAAACGGGTCAGTCTAGAAAATCTACTAAGCACCAGTCTCGCTATGATAAAAAGTAGCACACGATCCTAAATCAGATCAGAACAGGATTATTATTAGAATAACGCACTAAATAGAGCATTTAACTAAGTTGCAGAAATATGTGAAATCACGACTTATGCGGCCGGACGGATCGAGAAGAACTAGTTTGAATAGCCGAACGATCGGGCAAAACACGAGTACCTATCATAACCAAAGTCATAAATCAATCTTTGCCATTTTCCTCATTTTTCCGCAACCAATTTAATTAATATAACTATGCAATTTCAAGTTCAAGGGTCAATTCGGAAGCTTTAGGGTTAAAATTTGACAAAACAAATTTCAGATTAGGATTCATGACGTCGAAAAAATGAAATATGGCATTTTTGAAAAAGTTTATTTTTTTATAAAAGTCAATAATCAACTTGGTCAAAGTCAATGGTTAAAGTCAACAGGTAAACTCGGTTTGGTCTTTGTTTACTTGACTGACTCTATCAAAGTTGACTCTGTTAACTCGATCGAGTTGACTTAGATTTCCAGAAGATTCGCAGGGACAAAGGCCACGCATCGCGGAGGCGCATGGCAGCACGTGTGGAGGGTGACAGGGACATGGACAACAGAAGAACGCTCGGAAGACTGTCAAACATGAAAATCAGTTACAACACCACCAAAATCAACCAAGATTTGGCTGAAATTAAATATAAAGCAACCAAAGCTTACCTCCAATGGTGGTCGTTGGAAACAACGGCGGGAAGGGACAAAACTGATTGGGTTTTTGTCGGAACAGGGCAGGGAACCTAACGGCGATGGCGGTGAGGTGAACAGAAATCGAGATCAGCACGAAATCGACAAAACCTTATGGAGAACCTTTGTTTTCCGACGAATATTCAATGCGATCTCCACAGCGAACACGGACACTGTGGTGAGGGCGGTACACGACACGACAAACAGAGGCAACAGAATCGATAGTGGAAAGGACGACGAGATTTTAAAAAAAAAAATTAGGATTTTGGTTCAAGTTTAGCAAAGAGCTATTTGGTTTTAGGATTTAAAATCCCAATCGAACTGTTTTAAAAAATATTTTTACAATAAACTAACACAAACATGACCTGAGCCTAGTGGTTCAAATCCCTTCAACCACACTTTAAAAAAAATCTCACCATTTCCTTTTTTTTCCTTTGCTGACGGATGATGGTCAATCCACGCTTATGTCCCTGAACTTTCAAGAAAATTCTAAAATTCTCTTAAAACTTCAAAAATTCATAATTTGGTCCCAAAAATTAATTAAATAAAATGATATTCAAATTGAATAAAAATTGAGGTGTGACATAAAATATATCATCTTTTTCATTTAAGTACCTAAAGTGTTTTTTTTCAAAGTACTTAAAGTTTCATTTTGGTCAAACTAGGCACCTAAAATATATTTGTATGATAATTTATGTACCTAAAGTATTCAATCTTTTTCATCTAATTTCTAAAAGTTTGACACGTAACATTAATCAAAGAATACTTTCTGTACTTATTTATGATATAAGCCCAAATTTAATGATCATTTTGTGATAGTTCGATAAATTTAATGACTATTTTGTAGCTTTTGAAAGTTCAATGACCAAAACAATCATTTAAGAATAGCTCAATGACCTGTGATATACTTCACCAAAAACCAGTAAAAGCACACCACCATACATGATTTTTTCGGTCTATTTTTCACTAGAGAAAATCGCCTCAGTGACCAAAAAAAAGTTATAATATACGATTTTAACCAACTTTTTTTGGATTTGCCAAAATGACCAACAAAATCGCAACGCGAAATAAAAATCGCAACGCGATCCCCAGAATCGCAAATCAGTTTCCAGAATCGCAACGCGATTCTTGAAAATCGCGATGCGATAGTACAAATTCGCATTGCGATTTTCCATAATCGCAACGCGAATATGAAAATCGCAACGCGAACACATAAATCGCAACGCGTATCCGTAAATCGCAACGTGTATCCGTAAATCGCAACGCGTATGGGTAAATCGCAATGCGTATCCGTATATCGCAACGCGTATCCGTAAATCGCAACGCGTATCCGTAAACCGCAACGTGTATCCGTAAATCGCAACGCGTATCCGTAAATCGCAATGCGTATCCGTAAATCGCAACGCGTATCCGTAAATCGCAACGATAATCCGTAAATCGCAACGCGTATCCGTAAATCGCAACGATAATCCGTAAATCGCAACGAGAATCTGTAAATCGCAACGATAATCCGTAAATCGCAACGAGAATCTGTAAATCACAACACTGAAATTTTGGGTATATAACACTGAAATCATAAACTAAATCCCTAAATCGCAACTCATTCCATCTCCATCTATCACTCTCTCCGGCGACATCCGTTCCTATATCCAACGACATCCTTCCCCATCCGGCAACAGGTCTTAGTTTCGCATCTCGTTTGTTTAGTTACAACCATGAAATCATCTAATGTTGATCATGTTTGGATAGATTTGTGTTTTGGAGGGTCATGGGATAATGTTAATGGTGTTTTACAATATATGCCTTTACCCATAAATCTTCAACTAAAATTGTCTTTACAAAAGTTAACTTATGAAACTCTAATGCTACGTGTTTCAAATAAATTGAATTTAGAGCCCCTAAGTGGATTTAGGCTATCTTATCAGAGAAATGGTAAAGTTTATTTGTTAACCGACAATGAAGATGTTGAACGATTCATTGCTTACATTAGTGTTTCACAAGATGATGTTACATTGTATGTTGTTGAACCTAGAAGTAGTATTGTTGGGTCAGTAGCGGGTAGTAATCAACTAAGTTTTTCTCAAAACCCACAACCTTTCTCTAATCCAAATCCCAATCAACTTTCAGCACCAAATTCCGGTTTTCGTATTGACCAGTTAGACGATGATGAGCCAACAGAAAAAATTGTGAGTACTAGTCAGTATTCGAAATTTGGTCTTGGTCAATATCCGGACTTTGATATTGGTCAATACACGGATTTTGATGATGTTTCAGAAGAAGAAACAGACCATGCGTGTAATGATATTGATATTGGTCAATACCCGAATTTTGATGATGAAACAGCCGTTGCCGAAGAATGTAATGTTGATGATAATGAGGAGGAAGTTACGACTGTGAATGAACATGTTGAACATCCATTCTGTAATTCATATAATCCTGAAGAAGAAAAAGAAGAAGAAAAAGTCCCGAAGAAAAGAAAATGCCACGGGCGTATAACTGGAATATGCCAGAATTACTTCAGATACCGGAAGAAGAGTTGATAAAGAAAGCAGTTGATTGTTACACAAAAGTTATTCGTATCAAGAAAGATGATTGTTTTGATACAAAGGAAGACTTGAAGATAGCTTTATATACGAAATGTGTGGAAGATGGCTATCAACTAAAAGTTAACAAATCAAGCAAAGATCGTTTCGAAACAAGGTGTATGATTGACAAAAACTGTACGTGGCGTATGATTGCAAAGAGAATAAAGATTGCAAAATGTTTCAAGTTAGGACTTTTATTGATAAACATACATGTTCAAGAACCCAAGTTTTTCCTCACCATAGACAGGCAAACAAAAAGGTGTTGGGTGGTTTTCTGGCTGAGTTAATGTTTTGAATGGCAGGGTATATCGGGGACATGAAATTATGACTGACATGAATGCTCGGTTCAAGATTAGTATATCATATTCTCAAGCTTGGAGAGCCAAATGTTATGCCTTGGAATTGTTGAGGGGGTCGCCAGAAGCATCGTTTGCCCAACTGCCGGCTTATTGTCACAATTTAAAGCTGAAAAATCCTGGGTCGGTAACTCATATCAAAACAGATAGAGATGGACGCTTTGAGTTGCTGTTTATCGCCATTGGTGCTACGGTTAGTAAATCAATATAATTTTGTTGACTCATTTTTGTTAGTTACATGCATTTCACATTTAAATGATTATATTTCTTGTGTATATTATTTTGTAGATTCGTTCGTTTATTACTTGCATGCGCCCAGTTATTATAGTTGACGGAGCACATTTGAAAGGTCGATACCTTGGAGTAAACTTATTAGCAGTAGCCATGGATGCTAACAATGGGATATTGCCAATAGCTTACGGGGTTGGCAAATCTGAAACCTCTGATTCATGGACATGGTTTATGGGGCATCTTAGGGATTGCATAGGTCCTATTAGCAATCTGACAATCATATCCGATAGGGCAAACTCAATTGACAACGCTGTTAGAAGGTGTTTCCCAGATGCTTTTCATGGACTTTGTGGTGTTCATTTGTATAGAAATCTAAAATCAAGGTCTGCTGGTATAAAAAAGCACAAATGGACATACTGGAAGGCTGTAAAAGCTTATCGGGAAGTGGATTTCAATAAGCATATAAATTGTTTAAGACGTGTTTTGCCTCAGTGTGCTCAAACACTAGAAGATGTCGGGTTTGAAAGATGGTCAAGAGTACATCAACTTGGAGCAAGATATGGTTTCATGACGTCTAATAGTGCAGAATCAATCAACGCTCTAAGTCGTCATTCCCGGAAATTACCCATTACTATGTTAATGGAGTTTTTTCGAGCCTCTATTCAACAGTGGTACTACAAGAAAAAAACCATGCAGGTATTATTTCTTTGAATTCGTAACTTATCATATTTATATATTTTACTAAGTATTGTTTATTTAAATTTACAGGAACATTGGAACATCGTGTTACACCATGGACTGAAAAAAAGATAACGTGTTGTGAAGTCAACGTCATGGAGAGTTGAACCATGTTCAAACACTTTGTTTCAAGTACTGGATAATAACTTAAATGGGCTAGTCGATCTAAATGCAAAGACGTGTAGTTGTATGAAATGGCAAACATCTGGTTATCCGTGTGGCCATGTTATAAAAGTTGCTCTTCATTTAAACCAAGATGATTCAAGCGCATACGCTATGGATTGCTACACTACAGAAGTTTATCGACAGACTTATGCCGAGATTGTCTACCCTATTCCACATCCTTCTGAGTGGGACATACCAGATGACTTACAAACAGTTTTGCCACCAGCCATGGACAGAAGGCTACCTGGCCGACCAAAAAGTCACGATCGTATACCGTCTAAGGGTGAAGAGAAGAAGAGATCGACATGTAGTCGGTGCAAGGAAAGTGGTCATACAAGGTTGACATGTGGATCACCAGTGCCATCAAAATCATCTTTTCCTCTACCAAAATATGGATCCTCATCAAAATCCAAAGCTCATATGGTGTGAACTTTGTATTATGTAAACGTTGTTATTCAGTTGTATTATGTAAACGTTTTAACATTTAACATTTTATGTGTATTATGTAAACGTTGCCATCAAAAGCTCATATGCAAACGTTGTATTATGTGGATTTTATGTGTGAACTTTTAACATTTTCAGTTGAATTAATGACTCAGGCCAACCATTTTGACTTAACCAACTCTTGTTATTCAGTTGTTATCACTATTAGGCATGCATTTGACTATCGCAACACGGAAAATACAATCGCAACGCGAAATGAAAATCCCAACATGAAAATCGCAATGCGAAATGAAAATCGCAACGAGAGAATCGCAATGCGAAATGAAAATCGCAATGCGAAATGAAAATCGCAACGAGAGAATCGCAATGCGAAATGAAAATCGCAATGCGAAATGAAAATCGCAACGAGAGAATCGCAATGCGAAATGAAAATCGCAATGCGAAATTAAAATCGCAATACGAAATGAAAATCGCAATGCGAAATGAAAATCGCAATGCGAAATGAAAATCGCAACGAAAGAATCGCAATGCGAAATGAAAATCGCAATGCGAAATGAAAATCGCAACGAGATAATCGCAATGCGAAATTATAAACGCATTGCGATTTTCATTTCCGCATTGCGATTTT